ATTGACAGCCTGTGTCAGTCTTCTGTTCGTGGCATTTATCATTCACTTAGCAAACTATTACAAATAACCCACACACGATTTAGGAAATAATACCACATATAATGGTTAAATTATTATATTTTAAGTAGGTAATACAAGTAACGTACATTGGTTGATCATTGTAGATTCATCTTCGTCGCTTATTAAGACAATATAAAATTCTATAAATAAATTATCTGTTGTCAATCAGCATACGAAAAACTTTTGAATTCATTTTGCGAGAAATATGCAGAGCATAATTAACTGGATTTTTAGTACCGTATTTAAATGTAAGCGTTAGTTAGTTAAGATAGTATGATTGATGGTTAATTTAAAGTCATAATCTATATTTATAAAAGAGGAAGTTTGTATATATATTTGAACGTTATGGACTCCGAAACCGCTCGACAGATTGTAATGAAACTTTCAGGCATAATTAAGCATTATTCAAGGAAGGTTTGTGTGAAGTTTGGTGCAGATCCGTCAAAAAGGGCTTCGCCCCAGTGGCTCTGGAGTTTCCCATGTTAACCTTATGAGTACTTACATTTAAATGGAATTAAAGAATCTTAACAGCTGGTTCAACTAAACAATTTGATTCCGTGATGTTCAATAGCATTAATTAACAAGTTAATAGGCTTACCAACAGGGTGCAGCACTATTATTTTTATGCCACATCAAAATGAAGCTTAGAGTGTGTAGATTTGCCGAAAAGTATCAATATGGACGAATTTCCTAAGGTCTCTCTGCCCCACAGGCTGATTTCCAAAGGGCTACGCCTGACATGTTTCCAATGTTTAAATGAATTAATTTAATTTAGTTAATAAAACAGCTGGTCAGTACAATGAACTGGTGTTTGTTTGTTCACTCGAAAAATATGTTTGTGACACTATGTAGATTGAGGAGGGTTATGTTTGGTTTTAAAGTGAGGTTGTATACGTTTTGCAAAGTATTTCTCAAAGTTTCATTTGTTAATTTATATATTAAACTACATGTGAAGAGGCTTGGCTAAAATTGAAGAATTATGGTAAAATATGTCATTCATGAAGCATCAATATGAAGCAATTGATGCTATTGCTACACTAAGGTAAGTTGTCATATTCTTATGGATCTATATTAACATCAAAAGTAGGGGTTTGAAAGTAAGTAGGTTTACGCTTTTAAATCAGTTTATATTTTCAAACTAAATCATAGAGTTTCTGTACTTTAAAACACACATCAGCACCACTTTAATAGCTCTCCAGGTCACATTTTCTTCCCGTTGCAAACCTCGGGTATAGCAGCTTGTCTTTTCTTAAATGAATTCAATTAATCAATAAAAGTATTTTATGACCTACAAAACTATTTTAACCATCACTTATAAATATTTGTTGTACAATTAGTTGTATCACTGACTGGATGAGCTGCTATTAGTGAATTAAAAAAGCGGAAGTTTTCTTTAAATGTTTTCTTCTTCAAATTGATTAATAATCTATATTATTTATATTCGACATGAATCTTTGTAAACAATAAGGTTTTTTTTCTTTAAGATTTAACCCCACATAATATTGTATACCAAAATGAACGTCTAGGTGTGTAGATTTGCAAACTGGCCTTACATATTTGTAAAATTCCCTTGGGCTCTGCCCCGTTGGCTTTTACAGCTACCATGTTATGCTTATGATGATCATATTTGTTTACATTATGATCAGCAAGGTAATTTAATAATTGCCGTTAATATTTTAGTTTAAATTTATGGAAACAAGTGCTACAAACATTTACTGACTTGGTTGAAATGATATATTTATATATATTTAGAATTTGGGTTCTCGTAAATAATACAAAAGAGAGAAAGCCTGGACAGTTTGATATACTAAAAATAAAACTGAATTAACACTCTGCTGAAGTTGTTGAGCAATCATTGAAAGAGCTGATTTGCAAACTATGGAAACAGGAGGGTCATAGAACACCACCACGTAGAAGAAAAATATTGTTTTTGCAATTTATATTGACAGAAATCGGGTAACATAAAGTAGAAGTCCTAATTTACTAAAATCTAAAATCATCGCAACATCTTATTATAATAGCAATTTGACGGGAAAAAAGTTTTTTTTTTCATTTCACTTAATAGAAATGATTCAATAAGAACAAAAAATAATCCAGCTTATAAATTAAGCTTATAAATAGTAAAAGTTAGATTTTCTTATTTTTAAAAGTTAGGGAGGTGTTGTAGTTAGGCAAGAACTTCTTTGGCCGACAGAAAAATCTTATTTTTGTAATTCCATAACATGTGCTTGACTAAATTACCATTTCATACTTAAAAGTGTTTCCTTGTTAAGCAAATACTATAACTAGTCAGATACCAAACTGTATCAAATATGATAGCCTATTTTAGATATGTTATATTAAATACTAAACTACATATAATAATACCATTGACTATAATATATAACATAGTATGGTAGCCTGTATAGCAATGGTAAGACGTCTAAAGAGAAGAATAAATACTTGGATACCGACAATCAACTTGCAAACTGACGGTAAATACCAAATTGTTTATCTTCCCAAAAGCTCACAGAGCTCCAAATATTATTGTCTGGCTTGTTCAAGTTGCATAAAAGCCCCATCAAACTTTGATATTTTCTCTGTAGGAAGTTACAATATTGTTTTCCAATCTTTTTCCCTATTTACTCTCAGGATTCACTATCATGGAAACCTCATAGCTCAACAGCAACCGAAGTAACAACCGTATAGTATGCTATTGTAACAATGATGACAAATAATTTAAAAAGTAAGCAGAAAATGTAGGCAAAATCTATATATTTAATCGATTTATTATGAATCGATTAAATCGCTATAATCGTTTGTTATTTAAGAGAGCTTTTCACATATGTTTATCACATCAAGTATTTATAAATTCAATTGAAGGTACTATGAGTATTACGTTTTGGTGGAAAAGAGTTAAGTAAAATAATCAATTATTGATTAGAACAATTTTCCAAAATATCAAGTAATCTTCAGTGTAATATTTGGTTAATAGTTACAACTGAATGTTTTCCCTTTGTACTGTATTTCTTAATTTGCTAAGATTCTGTGTATGGCTTGTTAACCCTTTGAGGTCAAAGTTTTCCCACATTTTTTTGGAGAATTTAGCTTGCCATTCAAGCAGTCAGAAAAATGGTGCCAAGTGACCTATACTCGCCATTTGACCCAAAATTTTTTTATATATATATTTTTTTTTTGGTCCTTGTAGGTTGCCATTTTTGTGCAGTCGGCAAAATGGCGGGGGGCGACCTATACTCGCCATTCGACCGCAAAGGGTTTTAAAAACATATGTTAGAATTATTTTGTTTACGTTTTCCTTGTTGTTTTGTAAAACCAACATGGCTATTTCACAACACTTTTAAATGAGTTTTCTAGAGAAATATGAGTTTTTCTTAGATTGGTACTTATGTTAATTAAGTTTTAATTAATTCAAGCCCCCAATAATTATAAATACCCCCGCTGCAGCAAACCTGCAGTCTAAGCGAAATTCCATGTGCCTGATTGGATTTTAAAATAAATCTATTGAAATAACAATAGGTTTGACAAGTAACTAGGTATGTTGTTACAGGGAGAGTAACAAAGTGTGTTTTTTAGCAAAATATTAATAGCTTAGTATAAAATAAATAAATTTTCCAAGTTTGATCAAAATATATCTATTAATAAGCAAGCTACAACAGAACTTAATCTCCATAGGAATAACATAGGAATTTTATATATACAATATTTTTAATAGCATACATAGCAAATAAACATACAAAAACACTTAAAGATACAAAATTATTTGTTTTATCATACTCTTTAAAACTATTTAAAGATAAATTAGGAAATTTTATGTTTTAAGAGTAAAAATTAAGAAAACCCAATTTTTAACCAATAAACGCCCGTTCCAATGGTCCGATCTTTGCTGGTTCGTGAACTCATGTAAGTTAATTGTGCCTTACACCGTCAAGCCAAGTCCTTATCCAAATCGGACAAAATTACTCAAGTTATCGCGTTGACGGACGTATACATATACATGGTGGTTGAAAAAAACTTGCATCCCCCTTTTTTGAACCTTTTGAGATATTTGAAATTGCTTTCGGCAACCTTCTTAGAAATGAGGGGCTACAATAATGATGGATAGTTTTAAAAATTTTGCCGTTGTCAAAACTTTCAAAAAACCAGTATAGTCGAGTTTGGTATCATTTTACAGATCTTGACAAAACTAAACAATTGACATAAAGAAAATAGAAATCGGGCCACTAATAACAAAATGGCAGTTAAAATTGCTTTAATAACCATTGTCTTAATAATCTTTAGCTGGCATTCATTTTCAAAGTCTTCCGTTTGCCATTGGAACGAGTTCTGTATTGATCACTCTAAAGCAATCGGGTGGCAAGATGGGAGGCCACGTTGACTAACTCTCCCATACCAGCCAGGGAGCAACTGGCTCCTGGTGGACATGGTGGAAGTAAATACTACAAATTCACCTATCTGTGGATGCGATACTCCCTGGTGTGGATTGACGTCCGCACGAGTGAGTACTACGACTATCCGCAGTACTATGCTGAAATTAAGACCAATTCGTATATACCGATTCGGTAAAAATGTGGTTCGGATTCCACTATAAACTGTAGGTCCCTTAGCTGCCATTTCCTGTGTGGGCTATTAATTAACAGCTGTGTCTAAGGACTGTGGCTGAGTCGGCCCTAGTCACTAACAAGACTACAAGATCGTACCACTTATCCTACACTCATCTCCGTCCATACTTGGCTTAAAATACGTACTTTGCATGGTCGCTGTAGTGCCTAACTACTTACCTGTATATAAATCTTTATTCAACAGATAATATTTATTTGTTTACTAATTCATTCAATTAAATTGTTCACTTTATCTTTTTACTAAATATACATATTAATTTTTACTCTTGTCTAGCATTTGTGAATTTACAACTTCATTTGGTGACCCCGACGTGATTCGAAATGTCAAACGGAGAACAATCAGTAGACAGAATTCAAGTCAAGATCCCTCCTTTCTGGCACTCAGATCCAGAATTGTGGTTTGCTCAAATTGAAACCCAGTTTTCTCTAGCGGGGATCACAGTAGACGAAACTAAGTTCTATTACGTCTGCGGTAACCTAGATGCGAAATACGCAGCGGAAGTGAGGGATATCCTCACCAACCCTCCAGCAGAAAACAAGTACATCAAGTTAAAAAAAGAACTTATAAAACGGTTTACCTTGACCCAGGAACAGAAGACGAAACAACTTTTGGAACGAGAAGAGTTAGGTGATCGGACACCATCACAGTTCCTGAGGCACATGCGTACCCTAGCCGGAACCATGATACCTGATTCACTACTGAGGTTTCAATGGCTTAGCCGTCTTCCTTCAGCAACACAAGCCATCTTGGTAACACAAAAGGCTGCAGACCTCGATTCACTGGCGGAGCTTGCGGATGCTGTCCATGAAGTCAGTCCTCACCATCAAGTATCGGAGGCGTCCTTATCAGCTCCCTCGATGGAAGAAATGATGGAACGCTTTACAACCACGTTGACATCAAATATTAGAGAAATAACAGACAAATTTCAACAAGAAATAGCAGGAATCAAAGAAGACATGAGACGTCCAAATTTCCACAAGACATCAGACACATATCCACGTAGACAATCATGGCAAAGCTCCAAGAATCGATTTGATCGCCATGACATCTGTTGGTATCACTGGCGGTTCGGCGACGCAGCAACAAAGTGCACCGACCCTTGCAGATTCAAAGGAAGCAGATCGGGAAACGACCCAGGGAGTCTCTAATGGCGACAAGCGACTCCGACCTCACATGTTCCCGTCACCTATTTGTCACCGATAAGGTAACCAAACAACAATTTCTAGTTGACACGGGAGCTGATGTATGCGTCTACCCTCGTAATATGTTAGATAAAAAAAAGACCCAAGACTGACTATACCCTATATGCAGCTAATAATACTGAGATTACAACATATGGTCTTGTATCTTTGCCTTTGGACTTTGGTCTACGCCGCTCATTTGTTTGGCGTTTCATCGTAGCTAATGTATCCAAACCAATAATAGAGGTAGACTTTCTACGCCATTATGATCTGCTTGTTGATGTACGACGTCAATGTTTAGTTGACCAGTCAACTTCATTTTTTTCCAAAGGTCAGACTCCTTCAGTTCATTTAGTGAGTAGTGTTAAAACTATTAAGTCTTGTCAACAAACAGTTTTCTCTCAATTACTTCATGAATACCCAAACCTCACAAGACCTTCAGGTAACACCAGGACATCCGGTGTTCAGTAAACCCCGCCGCCTGGCACCGGATAAGTTTAAACTCGCCAAAAAAGAATTTGAATCCATGGTACAACTAGGTATAGCTAGACCCTCTTCTAGTAGCTGGTCTTCTCCCCTTCACATGGTTCCCAAAAAAGGCAATGAGTGGAGGCCATGTGGAGATTACAGGGCTTTGAATGCTAGAACTATCCCTGATCGGTACCCTGTTCCCCATATTCAAGATTTCTCTCACCAACTTCATGGTAAGACAATATTCACCACCTTAGATCTTGTTAAGGCTTATCACCAGATCCCGGTTGCTGCTGAGGACGTCCACAAGACAGCAATTACTACACCTTTTGGCCTGTTCGAATTCCCTTACATGTCATTTGGACTATGCAATGCTGCTCAAACATTTCAACGCTTTATAGATGGCGTGCTTAGGGGCTTAGACTTCTGCTATGCTTACATCGACGATATCCTAGTAGCTTAAGAGTCAGAAGAACAACACGTATTACACTTAAAACAGCTCTTTGGCCGTTTTTCTACTTACGGGATTCTCATTAACCCAAGTAAGTGTGTTCTAGGAACATCAGTCGTTAGCTTTCTAGGGTATGAAGTGTCTGGAGAAGGTATCAAACCTTTGCCTGAAAAGGTTAAAGTCATCAACTCATATCCTAAACCTAAAACAGTTAAGGAACTAAGGAGGTTTATTGGTACGATCAATTTTTATCGAAGGTTTTTGCCTAACACGGCGGAGCATCAAAGCTTACTAAACGAACTACTGAAGGCTAATGTGAAGGGAAATTCCCCTGTCAACTGGACCACAGCAAGTAATGAAGCATTTGAGGCTTGCAAGCAAAGCCTTAGTAAAACTGTGATGCTGTCTCACCCTGTACCAGATGCTCAATTGGCCATTTTCTGCGATTCTTCCGCCCATACTGTGGGGTGTGCGTTGCAGCAAAAGATAGGTGATAACTGGCAGTCTTTGGCCTTTTTCTCAAAAAAATTTACCCCTGCTGAACAAAATTACAGTGCCTACGACAGGGAGTTGACAGCAATATATTTATCGGTAAAGTACTTCAAACATATGTTAGAAGGTAGGCAGTTTACCATTTTCACAGATCACAAACCACTCACTTTTGCATTTAATCAAAAACCTGACAAATGCTCTCCCCGCCAATTTCGTCACTTGGAATACATTGGGCAGTACTCAACAGACATCCGTCACATCTCTGGACAATGTAATGTGGTAGCTGACACCCTCTCCAGAATTGAGACGATTACCGTTCCATTGGACTATCAGGCATTAGCAGACTCACAGAGCAAAGATGAAGAGTTAAAACGTCACATACAGTCTCATTCCAGCCTGAAACTTCTACAGGTCCCAATACCAGGAACACAGGTTTTGCTTTACTGTGACATATCTACTCCCATCCCTCGTCCCTTCATCACAAGGCCATTTCGACAAACCATTTTTAACAGTTTACATAATCTTTCTCACCCAGGTATTAAAGCTTCATTGAAACTTGTCAAACAACGTTTTGTCTGGCCTTCAATGAACTCTGACTGTCGTCGATGGGCCCGTTCTTGTATGGCATGCCAAAAGTCCAAGATATCACGTCACAACTGGACTCCTGTAGGTATGTTCGCCCCTCCATCTTCCAGGTTTGAGCACATACACATTGACCTTGTTGGTCCGCTACCTGTCTCCGAAGGTTACAGGTACTGTTTGACCTGTGTCGATCGTTTCTCAAGGTGGCCAGAAGCAGTACCAATCGAAAACATAGAAGCAGAAACAGTAGCACGAGCACTTTTTACCACTTGGATTTCGAGATACGGAACACCACTACGAATTACAACAGATCAAGGTCGGCAATTTGAGTCAAGCCTGTTTAAACACCCAGGAGATTTGTTAGGTTCGACTCGTCTCAGAACAACTTCCTATCACCCATCGTCAAATGGACTAGTTGAACGTTTTCATCGTCAACTGAAGGCAGCCATCAGATGCCGCGCAACAGCACGATGGACTGAGGTATTGCCCGTCATACTTTTGGGAATACGGACAGCATGGCGTGATGATCTACAAGCTTCTTCAGCTGAACTCCTGTATGGTCAACCACTTCGCCTACCTGGAGAGTTCCTTACACTTAGCGATTCCAACCATGAACTTGACCCACAAAGTTTTGCCAAAGATCTGCGTCAACATTTCAACAACTTAAGACCAGTTGATGGAACAAGACATGGAGGTAGGACGCCATTCGTGTTCAAGGATCTCAACACATGCACTCATGTCTTCGTACGTACCGACATTTCTAAGGGTGCACTCGATCCCCCCTACTCAGGTCCTTACCTCGTCATTAGAAGATCTGACAAGACTGCAGTTATTCGGATGCGAGGCAATGATGTAACCATTTCGATGGATCGACTTAAGCCAGTCTATTCCTTACAACTCGATCATGATGATACCAGCGTTTCCAGAGACACCATAACTTCTACTCCTCACTTTTCTCATTCTGACATTCAACAACGAGGTACCTTGACATCTAAACCTATTCTGAGATCTACACCATTAATTACGCGCTCTGGGAGGCAAGTTAATTTTCCAGTACGGTTCCAGAGTTGATTTTTTTCGTGTTTGCTCAGCTACACAGCTCAACCACTGGCAAGGGGGTACCGTAGTGCCTAACTACTTACCTGTATATAAATCTTTATTCAACAGATGATATTTATTTGTTTACTAATTCATTCAATTATTATTGTTCACTTTATCTTTTTACTAAATATACATATTAATTTTTACTCTTGTCTAGCATTTGTGAACTTACAACTTCAGTCACCATTTCATTGAAAAGTATTAACAAGTTTTAAAGGTGTAAAAAGTATTAAAAAGTACACGGTGTGGAATACCCTAAATCGAATTAAGATCGATGTACCAAAATGCAAGACAAACATACAGAAATGGGGTCTCTTAACAGACGAAGAAAAATCTTTTGTGCGTCTGTTAAGAATCCTGGCCATCTGCTGATCTATCCACGCCTAGACCAGTCTTGCTCATTATGGTCTTTTACAAGCAAATAACAAAGCCATATCGTTAGGTAATTTTTGGAAAAGCAGAGTCTGATTTCCGGACACGGAAAGTAAGTAAGCTGCCATTTCGTTATTAGTGGTCCGATTTCAATTTTCCTGATGTTAATTGTTTAGTTTTGTCAAGACCTGTAAAATGATACAAAAATTCAACCATACCTATTATTTGAAAGTTTTGAGCTACCTCCCGACCTCACTAAACATAAAGTATTTTTTTTAATTAACCATAATTGTAGCCCCTCATTTCTAAGAAGTTTGCCGCAAACCGATTTCAAATGTATCAAATAATGAAAAAGTTAAGGTTAGATAGGTTAGTTATGGTGCAAGTTAATCTTCAGTCACCCTCATTGTTATTTGGATTTGATATGTTTTAGGGTGCCATTTTTTTATTAGTAGTCCGATTTTGGGTTTCATTGTGTCAATTGTTTAGTATTGTCGATACCAGTAAAATTATACACAACTCGACTATACTTGCCATTTGAAAATTTTCAGCTACCCGCTACCCCTACTGGCTAGGGGTCTAAGGGCAAAATTTTCAAAATTTACCATAATTATTGTATTTCCTCATATCTTAGAAGGTTGCCACAAACCGATTTCAAATATCTCAAATGGTTGAAATGTTAACGGGGGTGAAAGTTACTTTTCAGCCACTCTATATATAAACACTTAGCAGAGTACCCGTCCTTCGTACGGGGTAGGCTTATAAGTACAAAATGCTTATTGCAGTTATACTCGAGCTTTGCGTTTGCAATGGGGGAGGACGCAGTTTGTTAAAATTTGCTTCTTTATATGTACGGTATACTACAGTATTACACATCTAGCTTATCCATAATGTTCTGCAACTTCACCTAAACAATAGAACAAATAAATTATTTAAAATTCGCAAAATATCACAAATAATTCAAGAAATAAAAAACATAAACGTAACTGTAAACAATCCTACTTTAACAGTTCTCATTTTGTATGACAGCTTTTTTGTTGCCATAAATGCAAAATACCCACGCCACAGCAAACCTGCAGACTTAGCGAATTTCCATTTGCCTGATTGGATTTAAACTAAAATGTCTCCTTAAAAATATCACATTTATTCCCTATTTAAACAGAATTTGTTTAATGAGTACTTAGGTTTGCTGCAACAGGGAGGGTAAAAAAGTTTTTTTTTGTAAAATATTAAAAGGTATGTACCGTGGTTCAGTAAGAAATTGATGTATTTTCCAAATTTTATCAAAATATGTTCATAAACAAGCAAACTACAACAGTTGACTTATTCTCCATAAGAATAACATGGGAATTTTAAAATTAAAATTTTTTTGAATTTTCTCCGTAACAATTAGGCGCATAATAACGCTTCAATATACTAAATTATTTGTTTTTTTAAGCTCTACAAAATGGTTTAAAAAGAAATTGTGCAACTTTCTGTTTTTAGGGTCAAAAATGGG